AGTTTCCTTTTTTGTCTTTTAAAATAGAAACTTTATACATTCTTATAATGCAGTTCTGCTAGTAATTTTCTCCAGATTTATTTATCCCATAAATATTTTATTTTGACTTTAGCTTTGACAGATGTATACAACAGATGTGCTAGTCTGTTGTGATGGCTCTTGAATTTAAACCTGTTAAAGACAACATTATATTCCCTCTGGTCTCCATTAATATTGGTTTAAAGCCAGCTGCTATATATATATATATATATATATATATATATAGAGAGAGAGAGAGAGAGAGAGAGAGAGAGAGAATAATGATATAATGTGTCTGCTTTTCTCTTTCAGTATTTAGCAGGGTTTTTTTTTTTTTCTTATTCTCTCTTCCTGTCCTTTCTCACCATACAATATCCATAAACGGTGATTGTTCCTTGTGTTATTTATTCAGCTTGAATATTGCCCAACATCTCAAATTTGATATTGGACAGATTTTATCATTTTTGGAACTCTACAGCCAGAATCTTTTTCCAATCTATTTTTCACCCTATTCCTCTTTCCCATTTCATGACTGTAGTTTTACATATGTTAGAAAATTATATTGTGCAAGGAGTGTTCATCACCATCATCACCATCATCACCACCACCACCAGCAATTATTTGCTTCAGTTCATTTAGTCAGTTAACATTTCTCATATATCTTTAAGATAATTACTTTTTTTTTGCCATCCAAAGCATAATGTACAATTTATTTTTCTCAGCCTTTGGCTAAGATCAAGTGCAGTACTGATTTTTTTCACTTCATATATTGTGTAGCATTTCATTCTTTTTTATATTTCCATGTTGAAATTGTCTGTTTACTTGTTAATATGTTTAGTTTCATTTTCTGAATATATTTGCAAAGTAGTACAACAGTTTTCAGCATTATAAATAAACTTAAAAGTTTCCTTTGGGCATTGTGCCATAGTGGAGTAAGTCCTCCCATAAGATGCCCACATCCCAGATCAAAGTGCCCAGGATCAAGTCTAACCTCTGTTTCTGATCCAGCCACATGTTAATGCACCTGGGAGACTGCAGATGATGACCCAAGTATTTGAATTCGTATTTGGCACTTACCTGGAGTCTTAGATAAGAGTTCTAAGCTCTCAGGTTTGGTCTGGCCCAGCCATAGACATTGTAGGCATTTGAAGAGTAAATCAATACAGTGAAGATTTCTCTCTCTCTCTCTCTCTCTCTCTCTCTCTCTCTCTCATATTCCCCCTTAAATAACTGGGAAAATTTTCATGAAAATGTTTAATTTGATTTCCAACCAGTCTGTAAAACGAATGTATGTATTTGTCTATATTTACCTTTATGTATTTATGTGCACTTGCTTTAAGAGTATCTTAAATTAAACTATTTGAGACAGAGAGAAGCACAGACATACACAGACAATACTTCTACCTACTGATTAGCTCTCTGAAAGCCTGTGATGGTTCAGGCTAAGAAGCTGGGAACTAGGAACTCAACATAGTTGGGCATCAGGTACTCAATTATATGAACCATCAATTCTGCCTCCCAGTGTACACACCAACATGAACCAGAATTAAGAGTAATACAGCCAGCAGTTGAACTCCAACGTAAGATGATGGTGTCCCTACCGGTGGGTTACCCAATAAGAAAAACAGCCATTTCAATAATACTAAAATTCTGAAGTTTGCTTTATGAGATCAGCTGGTCTAAAACACCTCATTTGTTATCAATTTCATTACACCAATTGCATTCATCTCTCTAATATTATTAATTATATTAACCTTAGATAATTATCTTAAATTGTGTTAAGTTCATGTAATTATGACACTTCACACGTGTAGTCTCAATTGATTTAATACTCTCAACAATTTTGTAAAATGATGCAGTTTACAATTTATAAAAGAATACTCAAATACTAAAAACTGTGCTTTGAATTAGCATATGCATGAATATATGTATATATGTTAGATTGTACATTATAATACAAACCTGAGTTAATGCCTCTTAAATGTTAATGTCCATGTCCTTAAAAATATATAATAGGTTCCTTATACAGGAAATACTACAAAAATGATATGAAATGATTCATTCTAATAGTAATATGTGATTCTTTGGACAATGAACTTTTTTAACAAGAAGAAAAGAAAGTTTCAAGAAGAAAAAGCTTTTAAGTCCTGTCTTATTTTACTTCAACCTCACATTATTAAAAAGAAGTGAATATTTAGGAAAGATGGTATAGATTGTATCTGCTTAGGTGGAGTTTATGTTTAAATCACAGATAAAGCAGCATCAGGTGAAAAAAGCATATTCATGAACATTTGCACACAAGGATGTCTAAAACAAAGGATATGGAAATAATGGCTAAACTGTTTACAGTGATCATATTTGATTTATAAAATAAAGAAAGCAGATCAACCTCATTTACATGAATTACATATTTAAATTTTATTTTCAAATCAATGAGATGACTGAAAGTTCATTTAAAATCAAAGTAAATAGAAATCTGCTTTTCTAATTGGATCATAATTTAGCATAATGACTTGGGCAAAGTCTCAATCCAGACATTGTTATTGAGCATCTTCATTTTCTATTTGTTAATCTTAACAGTATTTTATTCGATTCAATCTTTCAAAGAACCATGTTTCTAATTCACTCTTTCTCTATTGATTTTATGTTTTAATTTACTTAATGTTTTTTCTCTTACCAGATTTAACTCCCATATGCTTATTCTGAGTTTATTTTTTTATGTTGTTTTTATGTCCTTCAGATTAAAGTTTATATTATTGAATTGAGACATTATTCTTTTTTAATGGTATAATCTATTTTATTAGGTATTTCTTTGTCCCTGAATAACAACATATATTCTGCTGTTGTTGAATGAAATTCTCTGTTGACCAGCTCCTGCTGGTTCATATGTTGCTGGATTAGTCTACATCCCTAATGATTTTCTGCCAAATTCTATCAATTCATAAGAAAAAAAAAGCAACGGTGAGGTTTGCAAATACACTTCCATGTTTTTCTATGTATATCCTTTCCTTTCTACCAGTATTTTCTTAGTTCTATTCATTGGTGATACATATTTTGGATTGTTTTGTGGCGGCACTTCCCATTTATTATGATAAAACTCTTCATTCTGATAACTTTTCCACATTAATTAGATTTTATCTAATATTAATAAGTTTATTCTGCATTCTTTGAATACTTGCAAGTTTCATCTCATTCAGTTCTTCTTACACCTAAATACATCATTATGTTTGCAGCAATTTTATAGAGCCGATATATAATTACAGATTTAAGTCCACTAGCAAAGCAATACTTACTTTTCAATTTTAAATGTGTAACTATTGCATTACTGATACATTTTTCCTCATTGCACAGCACAGAGATTCACTTGAGAAAATGTATGTGAGCTGTTTCTACTATTTACATTTAATGTAATTTTTAATATGACTGACATTTCATTTTCCCTGTTACTGCCATATTAAAAACTTCTAGTTATTTGATTTTATTCGAAAGTTTAGACAGAAAGACACAGAGACTGAGAGATGCTGACATAATGCCTAATAGGATTATTCCAAGTAACTATTCTTTACATTTTAATTAATTCCTGCAGACTTTCAAAAGCACGAATTCTATGAACACATACATGTAAGGCAAAAAAGAACACTAGAAATTAGTGCTTAGTAAAGTAAAAGATCATTACATAATGCACATAAAACATCTTCACCAAATACAGATTCAGTTTTCTCAACAACTTTAAGAAAAGCATCAGTAAATAATTGTGGTCAAGAAGTATTTGAAATATTCAAATATAAGGCACTCACTTAATAAGATACATTTTAGAAATAAACTTCATATAAAATATTTTATCATAAACATGATACAATCTTACTTGGGTAAACTATATTTTCTAACAAGCTGTTACACAATATTCACCAAATTCTAAATGTATTATGACACCAAGTGGTCTATTATATCACATTGCCTTTTAGAGTTAATGTTCTAAATTCTTAAAAGATGCTGTTATCGTGCTTAACTTGCAACATGAGTTTTTTTTTTTCTTTAGGCAAAAATTCATTGAACAGCTATTACTAACCTAATACAAGAATTACAGAGACAAATTAAAAAATGACTTCATGTTTGTTTCACAAAAGTACACATATGGAAACCAGAAGGAAAACATTATGCAATGGTGATAATAATAGTTGTCCTCTGCTATTTATGACAGAAAAAAAGAAGGACCAAATAAAATGATTAATTCTTAATTACTGCCTGAACCAATATGGAGTTGCGGTTAGATATTCTTCCTGTACTGAAGGCCTCAATGGAAGCAGTATGTGCTTTGCATTGACATCTAATGTTTTATAACAGGAACACAAAGTAGGTTATGATTAGAATTGGCATACTCTTTTACTGAAGACACCAGAATTTCCTAAGATTCTAGATGACGAGAGAATGATTATAAAATGTAACTTTAGAATGTCCTAATGGCTATCACTTGATAAAAATTGTATTTTTAAAACAGACACTTTTTCTTACACACACACACAACTCACACAAACATCAAGAACCCTCATTTCAAAGCCTTAGAGGAATTTTTAGGGAGTCACAAATATTTTATTTCCTGGAGTTGAGAATATTAGTTTTCATCAAATCTGTAACATTCAAAAGGGAAGGGACACATGTGCCCACCACTACCGCTTTCATTGTGTGCATCTTCCTAAATCATACTAAAAGATGAAAATTCCAAATAAAGTGATTATGAAGGAAATGCATGCATAACATAATCAGTCAAGACATTCTAACAAAAGAAATTTGCATGCAAGCTTATGAACATGAGAATTTAGTTGAAAGTGAAATATGAATATTCTCATGACAGGATGAATCTATTACTGCAGTCAAGTATTTACAGACCATATTCATCTGCAAATACTTATTAATGCCAGAAACAAGACAATTCCTGAGTCATAAAACAGAACATACCACCCTAAAACATCTGGGATACTTACACACTTTTCGCTGTCAAATACATAGCACAAGTGTTTATTTGACTCAGAATCTTTGCATATGAAAGTGAATATCCTCTTGTCGGTTTTATCATCTGCACAAAATGATATTCTATGAAGCTGGCAATTGTGTTGGACTTCCTGTGAACACAGATAGAAACAAACACAGATGGTGTGATCTTTTTCCATTTTCTGGATACCAACGTGTGTTAATGATGTATAACTCATGCCCGAAAAAGCGTAAGAATCCACTGGCAACTTTTGGCTTTATATGTATATGCACCCCAAACTTAAACACGCTTGTATCGGATATGGACCTCCTGATTCAGGATTAAGCGAAAATACTCATTTTCAAGAGTACTTAGAAAAACATAAGGAAAGGATCAAAGTTTCACAGACTCTGAGCTACAAATAGATTTTTTAAAAAATTTATTTATTTTTATCGTAAAGTCAGATATACAGAAAGTCAGAGAGGAAGATCTTCCATCCATTGGTTAACCCCTGTCTCCCGCTCCCAAGTGGCTACAATGGCCAGAGTTGAAACCATCCGCAGTCAGGATCCAGGAGCCTCCTCCAGGTCTCCCACATGAGTGCAGGGACCCAAGGCCTTGGGCTGTCTTCTATTGCTTTCCCAGGCCACAAGCAGGGGACTAAATGGGAAGTGGGGCCACCGGGACACAAACCGGTGCCCATATAGGATCCCAGCACATGAAAGGTCAGGACTTTTGCCACTAGGCTACTGCGCTGAGGCCACAAATAGTTTTAACATGTCATAATTTTAAATAGGAGAATGAGTCCAAGAGAGATCATAATACCAACAAGAAGAGAGTTAGAACTGTTTTAGCCACAAATCTTTGCATTTTATTTCACTGTTACCCACAACATGTTAACAATGTGGCTTCATCCACACACAATTTGATGCGATAACTGTCGTTATGTCATAGTTTTTTGTTTTGTTTTGTTTTGTTTTTACTGATTTTCATTTTAGTGTCTTCTGGACTACACATACTCTTTAACTTTTTCTGTCTAAGAAGGTCATCTTAGGGCTTCTGTAGCATCTTTAATTGGATAGTGAAGAGAACTGTCTCCATATCCAGGCTGCTATTACAGAAACAAATCTGTTAACTGATAGAAAGGTAAATATTGCAAATATTGCAAACACATACCGAAACACAGATATAGATATATATCAATAGCTCTGGAATAAGGCCAAAGATGCTATATATGTATACATATATATATGTAAATGTGTGTATACATGCATATACATGGGAGGAATGTTTCAACATTCATGTCTCGATGGTGAAAGACACCCTCCCTTTTGCTTAGCTTCTCATGAGCCTGACAACAGGAGTGGTTAGCCCATACCATGTGCCAGTACCAGATAAGGAGTACAATTGGGGGAAAGGACCACGTGGTTGACAAAGTAGGCAGACTACATTACATTGGGTGGAGAAGTTATGGTTTCCATTTCATGCAGCTATGTTTGCTACTTGCCTGTCCCATTTTATTCCCTCCTGAAATTTCTGACACCTGTTTTTAAGGGTTACTGAGGATGTTTCATTTCATCTTAAGTTACTTCCTGCTGCTTAGGGGTATAGGCCTTACATGTCCTGGGTTTAGAATTTTCTTCCTTTAGCTCTTCTAATGGATCCATTTCACAAGTCATAGAAAGTGTAGCTGGAGTCAATGCCTGTTCCTTGGTCACTGGCCTTTTTCTGCATTTTGAATTGGCATCCAAGGGCCTCAATTTGTGTTCAGAGGCAGGTCAACTGTGCACCTGGGCACGATCTTCCTCCCTGCACAGGAATCAACATTAGGGGGCTGCACTGTGTATTCTGATGCTGAGACACCCACCCCAGTTTCTGGTTTCTGAGACTGGAAGAGTTTATTGTATCTGGGACTGACCAGGCATTAACACCCTAGGTTTCTTGCAATGTTAAAAGTCATCAGTGAAAGAAAAAAAGTCTTTAGTGCAAGTCCTCTCCCTCCACACCCAAAGACCCTGTCCTCGGGCCCCAGCCTAGTGTTGCTACCATCGCCTAGAAGTCATCAGGTCCCTGTTCTGCTTTTCCCAAATGAAAACATTGTCATTCAGTACCTGTGGACTGCCAAGGACCCCTCAGGTACCTAGCCTGCCAAAGGCCATCAGTGGGCTTCTCCCCCTGCCCAACAAGACTCTAGGGACGCTGCAGGTGTGACCTGCCTAGGGCCCTAGCATCAGTTACCTGATCTGCTACTCCCAGACCGGTATTTTGTCATGCTATGGGTGGCAGCCTGCCTTCTATTTCAATAAAACAGAAAAACAGTACAAAGAGATGGATTCACTGTAGGTTTTTTATAAAGTCATGTTACTTTAGTCAGTACTTATGCAACTACCAATTTGGTCTCAAATTATTCTGTCCCATACTTTTCCAATGTGACTAACTCTGAAACTGACAATTTTGTTTGTTTTAATGTCAACATGATCAACCAAACAATAACCCTGAACCACACTGTAATTTCTAAATAGTGATAGAAGGTCAACAATTAGTTTACTGATTGTTAATTATGTTTATAATTATGTATAGGTGTTTGTGTGTATATATACATATTTATCTATTAATGTGTATGTACAAGAGTTCTTTTTTCTGCTTATAGGAAACACACCAAACATACTACTTATGTAACTTTTGTGGAATCTACATTTATCTTTTTTTCATTCACCAATCAGTATAAGTATAGCAAGCCTTTGGTTATGAACACCTGAGAATCATCCTAATATTGCATCAGATTAGTATAGATATCTAACTATCAGCACCCCCTAAAAAATGAGGAACTGATGCTGCAGATTATTTTTGTGAGGGTTTTGTTAATTGTTATTGTGATAGGTCCTTTTGATCTTAAACAACATTTGATGAGACACAATAGAGACTTCTGAGTGACAGTAAACCATAGTGAGGAAACACAAGCCCTTTAACATTAATGGTATTTTATGGGAGTTGTGACGACCATCACAAGTTACTTTGATCTCCAATTCATCTGCAGGATCAATGTCCGGACTGCAGTCATCATGAGAATGAGTGATGTCTAAACACTTCTGCGAGACTTGCTGAGGGAGATTCTCTTCCATCTTTACTCACCCAAGTGAGAAAGGAAGATAACAGTCCTAATTTCTATAAGGTTCCTGGTAGATTAATAATACATTTTTTAAAAATTATGCCTCACATATGAACATTTAACTCTTCATAAATTTATTTAGGAGTTTTGTATTTCATTTTTCCTTAAATCACAACTTTCTGTTCAACAAATAGATTGACAAATTTTTGACAATGAGGCCTATTACATGCAGCCCCAACTATGCATCATACCACATCTCCTCAAGGTTTAATGTGTACATGAATAACTGAGTTTGCTTTGCAAATGTAGAAAGAGATTTAGCAGTTCTGGAATAAGACCCAAGGTCCTACGGAGTAAGCACCAGTAGATTCTAATGCTGTTATTCCACAGAACACACTTAAACAGCAAGATGGTACTTACTCTATTAACGAAGTTACAGAACAGGGGAAAATATTTTCATGATCTGTTTATGAATCAGGTTTTCTGGTGATCATTTTTAATTAAATGAATGTTATAAATAAGCATGCATGCTAGATTGTTAGAGAAAAAATATGATAACATATATTTCCAAAATAATTGGAATCGAGTCTCAACCAATTACTCGCAGCTATTGTAGTCTTACTAAGTGTTTGAACAATAGTTCTGTGGCATTGGGAATAAAGTCTTATTAAATTAATGTACCAGGACTGCCATAACAAAAAGCACAGATTGGGTTAGGAATCTGTTTACTCATGGTTCTTGAGGTTAGAAGGACAAGATCAAAGAGTCGGTCAGCATGGGTCCCCTGGGGCTCCCTCCCTGGTTAGTAAATGCCTGCATCTCTGTTTTCATTTGACCTTCCCTCTGTGTGTGAGCATCCTGATGTTTCTTGGCCTTTTTACATGGTCACCAGTTAGATGCCACTCTAAAGGTTTCACTCATCCTCAATTAACTCTTTGAAGGTCCAGTCTTTGAATGGCAATCCCATGGGGGATAAGAGTACAACACAGGAATTCTCAAAAAAAAAAAAAAAAACCCAAAAACAAAAACAAAGTGCAAAACAATTAGCTCACGAAAATATATTTAACGATTTGGAGTCTAAAATGTTTAATCTATTTGTAAATTTTTTTATTGGAATTGTAGGGGAGGGGAAGCAAAGAACACTACTTTTATATTGTTACGGACTGAGTCATATTCCAATAAATTGCGTGTGTTGAAGCCCTATAACTGAGTCCATGAGACTGTGACCATACTTGGAATGTTAGATTTAAAACACTGACAAATCCCTGAGGTGATCTCTACGCTTTACGTTGTGTAAATTGCAACTTAATTTTGCTTTTAACTAATCAATATATAACTTTGTTGCATAATAAATAGTTTATTTCAGCCAATCACAGGCAGATGACTTATCACACCACACCCAGATAAGGCAGACATCTGGCAGTAGCCCATCCAGTGATCTCACCATTTCCCCGGCACTGGATCTGCAGAAGCCTGCTGCCAGCCTAGGTGCTACTCCAGAAATTTCCTTTAGTTCTGACTGCTTCTGAGTCATGAACTATTGTTCCTTCATCTCTATTCTGTTAAACCTAACCTATCTAAAGAGCTTTCAACAGGAGATAAAACCTCTAGGAAAGTAAGTAAGATAAAATGAGGCCACTAATGGGGTCCCTAATCCAATCTGACCAGTATCCTTTTATAGGAAAAGTGGAAACAGAGTTACCAGACCTGCCTATCCATTGAAGAAGAACATGTAACAGCAAAAGCATAGCTAAGAAGAGAGGCCTCAGGAAACAAACAAAACAAACAAAACAAACAAACAAAAAGAAAAAAAAACCCAAAATCTAATGACACCTTGGCCTTGGCCTTCCAGCCTCAAGACGGGTGCGAATATAAACCTGTATTGCCTAAACCACTCGAATTTTATGGCAGTTTCAGAAAACTAATACACAATGATGATATCTATAAAAAATAATTAGAGGCAGTGCAGGATATTTTAATAACAACATAGCAGTTTACCTTGTTTTACTGTATGAAATCACAGACTGCACATCATTTTCATGTAACATGAGGAAAAACTCCCTTATGTATTCCAAGCAATGTTGAGTACACTTAATATAAGATATCACATTCTAAACACAGAATAAAAGACAGACTACTTGGAAATGAATTCCAAAAGTTTTTCCCTGTTAAAATGCCATGGCATTTTAAAATGTCATTAATTCAGAAATAAACAGTTTAAGTTGGCAACATAATATAAAAGACTCATCAAATAGGGAGATAATTATAATTAATGAAAAAAAATGGAATGCTTTTGGCACACAAAAACGAGCCTTACCTTTGTCTTGGGCTCTAGAATTTTGACTCCATAAATAGATATTTGCAGTTCAACTTTAGGAATTTTCTGGCCTTCAGATTTCTTGATATGTCTTGCAAACTACAACAGAAATGTTATTTACAAAACTATAATTCTGTTTGCATGGAGAATGAACACAAACATCTGGTCTTCATATTCAGTGTCATCTTCATTCAGTCAATTCTAGATCTTTATTAAGAATTCTATAAAAATAGGATAAAATATAATAGTATAGAAATGACAGTAATAAATAGTATAAATGTGTAATAGTAAATGATAGCAATCTATTGATATAAGCAGATCTGTTTTTAATAATCTTGTAAAAACATGATATACAGTGCAATTCTTCCATGATATTTAGTAATGATATTGATACTTACACAACTAGAAACACTTTTGGAAAGCTAGGCAGAGATTCACCTCTGTTTTCCCTGTGCACATTTTTTTTTTTTTTTTTTTGCTTTTTTTAGACACTCTGCATTTACCACCTGCTGGATAAGCTATTTTTGCAGTTTCTAGATGTTTGGACACTGCATTGGCTAACCATTTCAGTGAATAGAGACAGACTACAGAATCCAAATCAAATGCAAGAATTAACATAAGTGTTCCAACTCAAAGATTCAAAAACACAGGTATGGTATGCACGTGGTCTGGAGGGTGAGATGCTGGTCAGGAAGCTCACACCCCACACTGACGATGGCCCTGATCCCATGCCTGTTGATATCAACTTTGGAAGACAGTGGTGATGGCTCAATCCTGTCTTGGAGGGCATTTAGAGAGTGAACCAGTCATCCAGATCTCCGTCTGTCCATGTGTCTCTTTGCCTCTTACATCAACGAATAAAAAATGGAAAAAAATAAAGATGCTGTATATTGAAAACATGAAAAAGTCTGTTATTTTATAACAGTAATTATTGTAGTCTCATTGAATTATTAAATATTCATACATTAGAGAGGGAAGGATGTGTGTGTGTGTGTGTGCGCGCACGCGTGTGCTACTAGGTTGCCTTAAAAATGCAATTTATTAGGTTGTATTACAAAGTAGAAATGAAAATCAAAGTACTCATGCATTTAAGTGAAGATCTAGCCTCTCTCTTGATATGACCAGATTTAGTGCTGGGGAAATGACAGGAGGGGTCAAACCAACTTCTCAAAAATATTTATTTATTTGCTTATTTATTTTGAAAAGGCACACTTACAGAGAATAGGAGAGACAGAAGAAAGATTACCCATTTTCTGGTTCATTCCCTAAATGGCCACTACAGCTCCAGCTGAGTCAATCTGAAGCCAGGAGCCAGGAGCTTCTTCTGGGTCTGCCACAGAGGTGCAGGTCCCAAGGTTTTGGCCATCCTCTGCTGTGTCCTCAGGAAATAAGTAGGAAGCAGGATGAGAAGTGGAGCAGTCAGGGCATGAACCAGAGCCTATAAGGGATATGCTGATGTTTACAAGCAGAGGTTTACCCAATGAACCATTGCTTCAGCCACACCCAGCTAAATTTGAAGTTAAACGATTAACGTAGTTTTAAAAGCTTATTTCAGACAAGCCAGCATGTTATGCAATGGGTTAAGCTGCTTTGTGCAGTGCCAGCATCCCATACAGGTAATGGCCCAAGATCAAGATTAAGCTACTCCACTTAAGATCCAGTTCCCTCCTAATGTGCCTGCGAAAGCAGCAGAAGACGAAGCAATTCCTTGCACCCCTGCACCTAAGTGGGTGACCCAGAAGAAGCTCTAGACTCCTGGTGTTGGCCAGGTCCAATCCCAGTTGCTGTAGCCATTCAGGAAGTGGATCAGCAGATGGAAGATATTTCTCTTTGTCTCTATCTCTTTTTTGTCTCTGTAAGTCTGCTTTTCAAATAAACAAATCTTTAAAACAAAATAAAACTTATTTTAGAATACATATACACCCATGCACTACTCACAGACAACATGTGTATGCTATGTAGGATGAGAGGGTTCCATGCAATATTTGAGACATATCTACATTTAAAAATTATGCAGTGTTTACCCGAAATTCCAAGTAACTGAAAATCTTCAAATTATCCAGCATCCCTACCCTCTCCCACTACTTCCCTTCATTTTTTTCCCTCTTTTAGCTTGCTTTGAAGAAAACTATCAAGGAGAAATAAATAGGATTTCTCACTCCCTCAAGCGTCAGAATACTTCCTAGCATAATGACTTGCAGCCTATGGGTCATCCTCACTTGTCTTAGAATAGATGCCGTGCAAGGCCGTGCAGGGTTCCAGCGCTCTGCTGTGTCATATTTATTTGCACTGTGCATTACACTCTAATCTAAGGCAGATGTGAGTTCCAGTGGGATAGCTCAGCCCTGCTGCTGAGAGCAGTTAAAAGCCGGTTTGTCCTTTCAGGGCTCTGCACTGCCGTGGAGGGCCACATAATTAAAACATGCACGAGCCACCCTGAAGTGTGTCTCTTTTCCTTTCCTTTCCATTTCCATTTGCTGAATTGAATTTTGGGTGGTAGAAGTGTGCAACTTGCTGTCTGTTCTTTGTGAATACGGGCTGCTAACTGACTCTTTTCCCTGTTCTTTTTTGTGCCTCACAGACTTACATTCTGCATGTGATCTAACTAGCCTGTGCCAGAACTGTGTTTTCCTTCAGTGCAGGCCCATAAAAAGTACCAGTCTTCTTTTCCAAAGAATGGACATTATGTTCGCTTTATTTTCCTTCATCGTCTCCTTGTTGGTTTAGTGAAATTAAGTAATGAGGAGGCTTTCCCATACAAAGGCTTAAATCAATGAGCCGTTTGCCACGTATGCGAACGCTTCTGGACAAAGCGACTCCCTGGTTGGGCTGCAGCTTTCTAAGCTTGCTTCCCCGGTCCTGCTCTTCTCCAGAAACAATGCGTTTTGGCTTCTGAACTCCCACATCTGGACACAGCCATCCCTATGACCTCTGACAACAATTGCACAACCTTCCTGTTTCCAAGAAATCCACCAACAAGTCACTAATAACTTACTTGCTGAGAAGGAAAGAAAGAAAGGAAGTAGGGACTGGAGGCAGAGAAAACAAAGAAAGGGTGGGAGAGGAAATGTAGCGCAGGGAGAAAAAGAGAACGAATATCAAATATTTCACCTAATGTTGACTCATCTGCTTTAGATCAAGACAAAATAATTTGGCACAAAGGCCCGTCAGAGATAACCTAATCCAATTTCCTACTTCACAGATGAAGAAATGTGTCCCAGAGAAATTGTTAACCTAAATCATAAAATGCTCTTGCAGCAACCCAGCCTCAAATTAGTGTTGCAGATAAGTAATAAACATCTTATTCTACTCTGCACGTATTTCATGTCAAAAAAGGGAAAAAAATCCAAGATCTTGTTTAACAGCAACACTTCTGCTGGCCTTGACTGATGAACGTACCTTGCAAACTCTCACTGAAGGTTATATTCATTCGTTCAGTCTGTATTGTAAGGCACTAATTAATCTCTACTCTGCCTCATCCAGCTAAATTTGAAAGTTAAGCAAATAGTGACTATAAAAACGAGGGAGGGGGAATCAGTAGGGGGTTGGGAACTTGGAGAGGGGGTGGAGAAATCCCAGACCCTATGTAATTGTACCATAAAATTTTAAAATTTAAAAAATTTTTTAAAAAGCTTGTTTCCGACAGCCTGGCATGTTGTGCAATGGGTTAAGCTGCTTTCTGCGGTGCTACCATCCCATATGGGTAATGATGCAAGATCAAGCTACTCCACTGTTCAAGCTTATTGCATTCTATAGCTGGCAGATTTCCCAATTACTCAAAGATGTTTCCCAGCTTGTAGACTCTAGTTTTGTCCCCATATACCACTGACAGATTTGGAAGACATAGTCATTAATTTATCTTCCATAGATTCCTTTCTCTACTGAATTATTATCATGCTAACATTTGAGGAGCCCTTCTCAAACTCCTTTCACTTTTTTACTTCTGGAGATTCACATATTGACAGGATTGGATGAACAGTGAGCTACCATTAACATGAATATGATCCTGCAATGAAACGTTTTCAAGCCAGGCAAAACACACATTATGGAAAACGCCTCAGAATACATAAACAACAACAACAACAAAGCCTTCTCTACAACAAAGAGGAAAGCATGAAGCACTGTTCAGAAGAGCTGAAGCCTCTAAGTATCAAAGAAAGTGTGAAGGGAGCGCTACCAAATTGTGTCATTGCAAAAGCCCTGTTGATCCATCAGAAGACATTTTAAAAAGTGGAATCTAATACCACTAAAGGAAAAATGTGCTTGCAGGCAACAAAGCTTCTTTGTTATTTTCTGCTTATTTTTCTGAGCAACTATTCTTTCTGCTTTTACTTAGTCAAAGCAGTCATAATAATCCTGTGGGAACATCGGTACTGCTTAAATATAGTCACATTAAACTGCAGGCATTATTAATTAAACCACTAGACACAAAGATAGAATGGAGTGTTATCCTACAGAGGAAGATCCAACTGCCCCCTTGACAGTAATTTTCAAAGTCACATTTTTCTCAAGGGAACTTCCCCTAGCAATCTCCCAGGGAAAGTGGTAAATTCTGAGCGTATTACCAATACTGACTCCTAAGCGAACACAGATTTTTTAATAAAATACCTTGAGCACCCTGACATTTGTACTAGTTCTATTAATGAAAATAACCAGATCGCTGTGGGGAAACGTGGTCATAACAGTACTAATGTTAATGAATACACAGAACTTGAGGGATTTTCAAATTGCTACTTTTGTGAAATTTGTTATGTTCCTAATTCTCAGGCTAAATCATGGAACAGAAACAGAAATCATTCAGTATAATCAAGAAATAGAAAAGTTGTTGCTTTGACAAACATATAAGCTAAAATTAAAAACAATACTTTAGCAAAGTATTCCTTTAATCAAAATTTACAAACTATAAATATGCATAAAGTGACAAAATCTATCTTAAAATCCAAATGAATTTGTTTCATTCAAAAGTAAGCAGGCATAAGTAAATGTAAAGCTGTAAACACAGAAAAAAAATCTAAGTTTTCCATTTCTTTTTATTCTTATATTTTGAATGTCATCTGCTTTAGCTAAGTCAAATTGCAGAAAACAAAGCTAATGTAAATAAAATGCGACCTTCTGTGTCAAATAAAATTGCACACTAATCATGAAAGAACAGTCAAATGTATTTAAGAAAAAACAAACAGGAAATTAATAACGTGCGAACAAAGTAAATCTCTTTCTTTAATGGAGCCACAGCACCACCTACTGGCTATTTCTACTTAACAACAAAACTTAAAAAGAAACGGTATTTTTTAAATGTAAATATTATTAGCCTACTTTAAAACTGTAGTCTCGGATCTCTGGCATAAGGAAAACTTTTCAAACTAAAATATGCAAAAGTGTTGTTTCATTTTACTCATTTAAATTGGTGAGTGCATCAATAGTTTCCTGAAACACAACTCCTTTGTAATCAACTGATTAAAAATTGGTTCTTAAACATAATTTAAGCTGGAAAACACTTGAAAAACAAAAGCTAATATAAAACAAGTATTCTTCTGGAAACCATAGTGAATAATTTTGTCTTGTTTTAGGCCATTTTCCTTTATTAATAGAGTGCATTTCTAAACAAAACACTCAACAGAAGAGAACCATAACATCCCATAAAAATGCATGTAGACCAACCATTGTTTAAAAAGTGTTTTATTCTAGATGTCTCTTTGCATTTCAGTTATTCATTACTTAATTTGATCCTTCTGCTTATGGCTTTGGGAAGAATGAATAAAGAATCAGTGAGTATAAAGAAACTCTGAATGCAAATACCATTGTTCTTTTAAAAAATAATCTGATTGGAAGATGAACTGCTTTAGCATATTTACAACACCGTGATCTTGCTTAAACAGAGCTCTATTCTGTTTTTTTCTTTTTATAGACTTGAGACTTCTTACATCTTTTAGTGTTTAGTAATACTGGCCAAGAAAGAGCCAAGGGCAAATATAAATTATGTCCTAATGAATATCAGCAAGAAATAAGTAGTCAGAACTTCCATTTAATGGAATTGATATTATAAAAAAACTTGTAGACTTTAGACAATAAGACTTTAGACAGTTATATACAATACATATTAAATGGGTGAATAAAATATTATCTAGCTTTATTTTTTCACCCAGATAACAAAGCCTCTTACTCAAAAATGGTGTTGGTTCTGTCTGATCTAATATTCTCCTAGAAAATAGTGTAGACATTTAACTTAGTGGTTAAGACCCTGCCATCTCACACTGGTGCAGCTGTTTTGATTCCTGATCCTGGTTCTTGATTCCAGCTTCCTGATGATGCAGACCCTGCCATCAATGGTGACGGGTTCTTACCTACGCACACTGGAAAACCTACATTGCACTCCAGCCTCCCAGCTTCGACCACAGCCTAACCCAGTCATGAAGGCATTTGAGGGTTGAACCACAACATAGGAACCCTCTCTCTTAGATTCTCAAGCAAATTACATTAAGAAATAACTTTGTAAAAGACTAATGAAATATTGTAATGCTTATATCTTTCTTCTCACAATCAGAACCTAACTTCTCTGTCAGTAAGTGTTCATCTCTAAATTAAAGTTGAAGAACTGTTGTTCCTTCAAAAGTGTCAGAACAGCCATACAGAATGCAATGAATCGTGTAATGAAAGCAGTGTTATGTAGATTTCTTTTAAAGTTCCAGGTTTATTTCTTTGAAAGGCAGACAGATGAGGAAATAAGGTAATGCAGAGAAAGGACAGAGAGCTTCCCTCTGCTGCTTCACTAACCAAATGTCTGCTGTAAGTGAAGACAGCAGCATGGGTGTCAAGAACAAAATCACTTGGGGCTTGATTTGCCACCTGCCATGCATATTCGCAGGAAGTTGGACTGGAGGAAGAGTAGTTGGGACTGGGGCCAAGAACTCTTGATATGGGCATCTCTAGAGTGGTGGCACAAAGTTATGTGCCAAAATGCCTGGCCCAGAGTCATATATTTATACTATAAAAAATTATTTTGAAGATGTTTTCCATAGTCCAGAAGGAACTTCATTTGAGCTTTGGAATAATTGGAAAAATATGATGTATGGGAACTTATATAAGAACTCTTCAGGAAATTTGCTGGTTATGGATATGTGTGTTTGGTTATACTTTAAAGGAAACTTCTAATTAAAGGTATGTGAGTTAGCATGTTCTAGGTGTTTCTCTGGTTCCCCTCTGGCCACTCATGGTATAACCAGATCCTCCTGAGTCTATCCATGAGAACAGCTTTAACATGTAGTAACACTGCACGATTCTCCCTTAGAACTGACTCTAAATCTACATCTTTTGTTGGTAGATATCATACTCTTTTAGACAGGTATTGTTACAATGTCGATAACTTTTGAGCGAGGACACTTGCCAGCAATGACAAAGAAAGTACACAAGTTGCTGAATGTCGATACTTAGAACAGATGACTATTGAAAGTTGCCTTCAACATTAGAAATTACACCTTACTAGTGTACAATTAATGTGTTGAGTGAAGAAAAAATGATTAGTGTATATATGTGCCTGCTATTACAGTATCTGCTTTATCTATGATATTTATTCAATAGACACATTTTTAATAGGATATGGTTAAATTTGCCCAAATGCAAATGATGTTGATTTCCTTGGAACTGCTGACAACAAGGCAAGACCAACATTCTGGACTCTCAGTTGAAGGGCTTTCCTTACCTTTAGTTTCCTTACAGCATCCCTCACAACTTCTGTTCCTTTTGGCTGTTCCACTTCTGTACTGCCAAGAAACTGAAAACCATCATGTGTCAGATGCAGTCCTTAAAATATCATACATAATGTAATCTTATTGATCTATAGTATCATAAAATCAAGTGGCTCAATACCAACCCAGATCCTATTCAAACAGAAATATTATTTTACCTGATAATCTATAAGACTATATCATTTGATGATTGCAATTCTTATTCTTCAATGATTTATTTTAAGAAAACTCAATGTTGTCAAATATTTCTCTGTAGGTTTTTATAGGAAAAAAACCAAAAAATTATTTCTTTAGGTCTTAAAAAATGAAACTAATTGTAACAACTGATATTCAGTAAATATTTTGTAATTACTAAGTGATTTTGCATAAACACAAGATATACATATACATATTACTATTTTTATTTATTTCAATAACATATTTAAGTTTATACTTCAACTGTTTTTTTTGCAAATCATATAACATGTAGAACTACGACACCAAATTTCATTTACTACCCAAAGTGAACCATTTAGTAAAAGAATAATTAAATTAAAATTTAAAAATCAGCATGACCTATGGATGTATTAGGTTTCAAAATAATTAGGAAAATATACAAAAGTATATTCCAGTAAAATTTGACTGATGGGGAAAAAATTTCATAATAGTTTTTACCAAAATGTATTAAATCTCTATCCTGGAGAGAGATATATAACACTCTCCAATACAATCTAACACCAAAATGTTCAAATCAAATTGAACATAAATAATGAGAATAAAAATTGCAAGCAACGTTGCAATGACTTCCTTTGCTTATGTCATACACTATCGAATGTAACACTTGAGAGTCATAACTCAATCACTTCTCTACATACGAACTGCACATTCTGAATGCGTTTGTGTATACTTCACATCAAATGATTATCATAGGAGTGTATCTAATGTATTAAATTACAGAATGGAAGGGGATAAACTAATAAGGTCAAAGTATTTTTTATTCCTTTATTATTTTATTTAGTAAATTTTTATGGGAAAGACAGATTTAAAGAGAGAAGGGGAGACAGACAAAAAGATCTATCTACTGGTTCACTCCTCAAATGGCTGCAATGGCTGGAGCTGAACCCATCAAAAGCCAGGAGCCTATTCCTGTTCTTGCATGCAGGTGCAGGGTCTCAAGGCTTTTGGCCCATTCTCCACTGCTTTCTCAGGGCATAAGCAGGGACTTCATGGGAAGTGGAACATCCTGGACACAAAATGAGGCCCATGTAGGATCATGGCTCTTGCAAGTGAGGATTAGCCAACTGAACTACTACACTATGCTTCTTTTATTCATTCTTGAAAACAACACTGACAAAATAAGTTGAGAACCCTTTTTTTAAGTATGCCACATTGACACATGAATTATTCAGAAAAGAGGTAAAGGTGTACAAATGCAGGTTTATTGGTCAAGTGAATCAGAATGTGTAGGTTGTATTGAATGAAAAGCGTTGTATTTCTAAAGCCTGCGTGATTTACTGTAGTAAAGTCTATGGAATAGAGTTAGTGAAGACATAAGTAGGTACATAGAATAGAATTGAAAATCCTAGAGACAATTTATATACTCTTTCTGATGAGCTCATGGAGGAAAGGAAAGCTCAGTTACAGGGAAGCACAGTGAAGGTGCACCTCTCACACTCTCCAAGGTAATAGTTCCTTTGTAAACTATCCTTAAATTACAGGCAACAGCTGCACATGAACCTAATGAAGAGACATCAGAGATTCAGCGTACATCCAGTGAGACTCAAGTTATTGTGGACCAGGTAGAAGACAAAAGTAACTGAGAAATTCTGAACACAGAATAAAGTACAAGTCTGTTACCAAGGTATGGAGAGAGCCAATTCTACTCCTGGCACCAGTGCGCCTGTAATATTTCCTCTGCTTTAGATCCATATTTTAAACCTCAGCTGCATAATAAAATCACATGGGAAGATTTAAACTTATTACCTGTGCCCATGAGTCTGATTTAATTGGCCTGGGCCAAAGCCAGGACATCCGTATTATTTTAAAGCTCCCAAAGTGATTTTAATTCACCATCAGGTTTGCATAGTTTCTTTTTACAGAACATCCAAAAAGGAGACAGGGTTCAAGATATAGAAGGAGACCAGCACAAATATGAGCTATTACATTTGGAATAAATCCAGGATGTAAATTATTTTAAACTTTTCTGAGTTTATCATATTACTGGGTGATTATTGCTTAGTGGGTGGTCTTGTGTTGGTGGGAGCAGGAAGGCACAGTCAGATTCTGCTAAGTGAACCACATTAAGGAAGAATCTGATGTATTAATAACACAATGCAAGCGTTCTTGGAAATATTTTTGGAAGAATATTCCTACTTTGGCAGAAATGTCGTGACTCATAAGAATTATATCCAAATAAGCCCTTTTGGAGATGTTATAGATTTCCAAGAATATTCTAAATAAATCAAGCTCTAGAAACGGTGCAGGAACCATTCCATATGTTTCTTTCACATTATCTTTAATTAAACCATCTGAGTTACGAAACACTGGAAGAAATCTTGAAATGTTGATATGAATTAAGACAAAATACATCTTCATAGGGACATTTCCATTTCATTTTTTTCTTACATTTCTTAATATTAAATAATCTATCAACAAACAATTTCAAAAACTAAAAAAGCTTATTCTATATAGCACTTCCTCTGTTTTGTAGAATTATATAAGTCATCATAAAACCCAGCTTCAGCGCTAGAGCATGGGGGTTGAGCATGGCTGTTGGGGGTAATTGTGGAGTGAACCCATAAATGGAAGCTCTCTGTTTCTCTGCCTTTCTCTCAGCCTAAATGTCTCCATCTTTAAAATAAAATGAAACTAAACAAGTAAAAATTTTAAAGGGAAGTAAAAAGATAATACATTTTAAAAACTGGAAAATCCATCATGAAACATTATCTTATAGATATGTTCTGTCAATCAAGAATAACCTGACAATAGGATGCTGGACTTAACACCATTTTCTATAGCTACAATGTCATGAAGCACTTAAACAGAAGAATGATGGAGTTGTGACTGTAGCTGAAAGATTATACACTACTGTAATAATGCAGAGTAAAGCAGTGAGGAGGATACAGAGCAAGGATGGAAGTGAAAATGGTTGACCATATCAAAGATAAAAATTAAAAAGAAAGAATGTCCAAGGTCCTGGAGTACAGCAGAGGTCTAATGCTTGGAATTCACATGTGCAATATAAGTAGGAAAAGAGGAGGAGAGATTATGTGCAAATCTATAAAGTTCTGCAAATCTTCAATGAAAATGCATATAGTAAGAGAAGTACGCATGACTTAAACTTTTTGTATGCAAAGATGAATTTGTCTTTTCATTTTATTGTTAGGTAAGCTTTAATTTGTACCCTCATAGGTCTAGATCACAGGTGTATTACAGATTAGAATGGTCAAATTAAAATCAGAGCATGGGTGAGAGAGGCTAGAGTAAGAGCAATAGTTGAGAGCAAAGTCTCTCCAAAATGGTGCCATTCAGTTGAGATCTAAATAAGACATGCAAATAAATCGTGCACTCAAGACATCTGATGTTAAAAAAGCCTGTAAGGTGTTAATAGTTGGCAGATTCAACAATTTGACATAAAGTTGGAAGTTGTGGAGAAGAATTCTGAAAGCATATGTACATTAGGAACTGCGGTCTCAGTGAGATATCAGAGTGCCCATTTTATAGGGTCCTGTGTAAGTACCATATTTCAGAGAGAAATGTATGAAAATAATGCTGCAAGCGAAAATCAGATGATTGTCCTGAAAAGGGCAAAGGGAATAAGATAATTAGATCATCATTGACACTACTAATTTTACGGTTGCCAGATCTAGCAAAGAAAATTCCAGATTCCCGCTACCACTGGCAATAAAAAAAAAAAAAATGGTGCAGCTACTCTGAAAATATTGTATAGCATTTTTCAAAAGATGACCACGGACATTATGGGTCCAGCATATATATGCTCCAGTAAATATACTCTTGGATATTTATCTTAGAAAAATAAAAAGATATATTCATCCAAATATCTAAGAATGGAGGATTAGACTGTTTAAAATTTAGAAACAACTTAAATGTCTTAATTAGCAAAATGTAGCACGTCTAAACCATGGAAGATACTCAGTAAACTGTGAATGCACACAACAGCATGAAAAGCCTAACCTCACAATGTTTCTTTTCTGTAACTATTTACTTAACAGAATCATACAAAATACGTGTAGAAAGTCTTAGAAAGTGAGACACTGGTGTATTTAAAGTTGAGTTAAAATAACAGATGTAATGTCAGAGTAAATTTTATCTTTTTTCAAAATATTTGTTTTGATTTATTTGAAAGGAAGAGAAACACAGAGAGAGAGAGAGAGAAGGCAGACAGACATCTGCAGGTTCAACCTCCAAATTCCCAAAACAGTTGGTGCTGGGCCAGATCAGAGCCAGCGACCTGGATCTCAGTCCATGGAGGAAGGGATGCAAAGAGTAGGGACATCTCATGCTGCCCCTCAGATACACCCTAGCATCAAGCTGCTACTGCTGGTAGAGCCAGAAGTCAACCCAGACATTCTGAAATGGGTGATGGGAGTCTCAAGTAGCAATAACTGCTGTGCCCAAAGCCTGCTCTGTAACTTTATGTCTGAGATCCTCCATATGGAAAAAAGTGTGACGCTGAGAGGAAGATGAAATAATGCATCCGGCTATTTGCTTCATAGGTTTAGGTACAGATGTTATTTTACATGTTGGCAAAAGGGGGAAAAAAGAAGTCGTGTTCTTTACTTGTTGATATCATCATTTATTACTTTTCAAGAAAATAAGACATTTCACTGTGTTATTTTTATATGCTATATCAAATTAAAACTTTGTTTTGATATATCTTTTTGTAAGGTATTTAGACCTTACATAAGTATATGTATCTTAGACAGTTCTGTGGTCATGGTTTGATGCTGCAACGACATTTAGTTTGCAAATGAATAAACATTTTTTTTAATCATAATAGTGATGTCTGTTAACTGGGAAATTTAGA